ATGGAAGTAAATGCACTTTTGGTTTTCTTTTTCCATCTTTCCCTTTTTGAATTGGGTTTTTTGTTTTTTTCTTTTGTTTATTTTTCTTTTTCTTTTTCTTGTTCTTTTGAAGCCCATGTAACCTTTTTTTTCTTTACGCTTATTTTTAACCTGATACAATTGATACTACCCAAAAGTAGAGAAAGAGAACTGTTTTCCCAGGGTAGGGGACAAAGGTGTTTCTATTATATGAGCACACTGCATTCACACAATGATGCTGCATTCGAGGAGAGGAAATCAGCACACAATGCTTTTTTTGAGGATGTTGCTGCTTTCTCTCTTTTCCTCTGCATCATAGTGTATTTAGTCTTGGTTAAGATTTTTGCCTGTATTTATATGCTATTGTTTCAGTTTGGTGCTTAACTTTAGGTGCAGTTGAAATCACAGGGGTCAAACATTTTTATTTGAAAAATGAGGCAAAACAAGCACCAGTGAGAATATATGTGTTCTTGATAGAGAGGAAACATAAACTTCTGTTATATAGAAACAGTGAGTCAGTGACTATCCAATCACGTGGGTTACAAATATTTGAACATGATGAAAACAATATCAGCAAATGGCTCCTATTGAATTATTTCTTTATTTATTTCATTTTATTTTTCTGATTTTGTAGATATTTCTATGAAGTTCTATGATGTAGGTGTATATAAAAAAGTTAATTTGAATTAGGTTTGATAATTTGGAGAACTAGAACTATCTTGATATTCATTCGTCACTTCTAGAGCTATATTTGATGAATTTGTATGCAACACATGGAGTTCATTTGTATGATCTATTATTAAAGCACTTTCTTGTACCCTCCTCTTCTGTGTCTCTTCTTTGTAAAAATGTTGGTGCCACATGAGCAAATCTTGGCCATATGGATCGTTTTGATCCATTCATTGCACAGCATGCAGTATTGCATGATAGCATATGTTTTCAGGAGTTGTGCTTTCAGTTGCTAGCCTTGTGGTGTGCTTGTGAAGCTTTTGAGTTGATTTCTAATATTGTTATCGATTTATGTTACAGGTGCAATGGAACTTTGTGAATTTCTTGATGATAAGAAAATTAGGTAATTAAATCATTGTTTTAGTTTACATAGATGCATGCTTCATGCTTACATACATAAATATCTGCATGCATCTACACGTCTATGTAGATAGTGCACGTGCAGATACTATATTCTAAGTCCAACAATAATCATTTCTTGGAGACTTTTTGTTGGATTATTTATTGATTAATTTCCCTAAATAGTGCCTCCCTAAGTCATTGAGCCTTAACCAAACTGATTTTGTGGCATGCCCTTCTGGTGTCGACAAACCTTGTGCATTTCCTGCCTAATGCAATTTTTCGTTTGAATGAACTTTCTGTTTAATTGTTGAATATCTGGAATGATTTTTCTTCTGTTTAATTGTTGAATATGTGTAATGATTTTTCTTCTGTAGGATTTAGCTTTTTTGTGAATGGGAAATACTTTGTGATGCAGAAATCTTTGATGATCAAGTGATAACATTATCTGGGCAGAAATCTTTGATGATCAAGTGATAACATATCTGGATGTCTGAATCCTTCTGATAACTGATTTCACTCTTGCTCATTATTCATGCTTAAGTTTCTATTGATCCCAAATTCTGCGTGCAAAGTTTTTACTAGAAATCCCTGCAGTTACCCTGTCTTCAACTATTATTGTATCGCAGTAGCATCAATCTTTGAATTGCATAGAAAATGGTATTGTGATATTGGATAGTGCTGATATTGTCCCATTTTCTTCCAGATTGTTACTACAACGGTTCTAGCATTTTCTGTTATGAAGATTATTGGTTCATTTATTTTCATAAATATGCACATGAATTTGTTTGTTTGGGTTTCTTTTGACATTTCGCTACTCCCTGCCAAACTCTCTCTAGAAAAACAATGAGTCAAGAACTCAAGGCTAATTTTCTTGTTATATTTGTTAGTATGCACTAGATGCCACAGAAAGTGTTCCGATGTTTCCCTTATGTGTTTATTGAGGAAATGGTTATGATTACAATATGTCGCACAAACAAGAGAACTCGAGATTTCAAAGTCTAAAGAGCTAAAATAAGAGCCATGATGTAAGATTTAGACATACTTTGCGGAGTTCCTATTATTTTTCACCCTCTCGGTTAACTTTTTTAGGACTTGAAATTTACATAGAGTTTAACTCCATTACATGGATGCTCCCAGGACTCCTTAATCCACATCCTCCTGTTCATAAGATCTACTTCCATCGCAAATACTTATCCTTTCTTTGTTGCTGAGACACCATTACTTCTCTACAACCTAGGGCAACAATAAGTGTTCAGAATTAATTGCCTAGGCCTTGTGGTATTGGGCAATGTTTCAAAAGTCGGAAGCGGGCCTGAACTTGCCAGCGGGTCCTCTCTGATTTGTTCCATCTAATTCGGGTGATTCTCAAGCTGGATAGGGCTGTATTCAACAAAAAACTTAGAAAATAACGATAAAAAACAAAGAATTGGGGTGATTTTTGCGTTCCCAGGACTGGAACTGCCTTGCTGACGATCCTGATCCTACTCAGGCAATTCTGAGTTTGATTGGTGATTTTTCAATTATTGAAGAATACGGATCAGTTTGGACACCTGATGCCCTAGTGAAGAGGATAAGGGGAATGACACGGATGATATACCATCTTTTTTTTTTTTTGAACATGTTAACCTGACAATATACCATCTTTCTGTTCCTAATAATTTTCTAATCCTAGATCCAAAGATTGGCATAGTGTAGTTTTTGTTAATTATTTTAATTTTAATGTTTTTCTCTTTTACAATTTATACTAATCTTGCGATACAAGATATCTTTTCCGGATATTATATGTCTTTGTTTTAAAGTTATTTATGGTTCCTGATATTTTATAATTTATGTGCTCATGTTTTTGTCTAGGTGTGTTTTAGAGCAGTCTAAATTCGAAGAAGAGCTGAACCAGGTCAGAGCATGTCTATGATGCTGAGACCAAGAATTATTGTAAAATCTAGGACATAATCTAGATATGGTTTGAAGGAAAGATGCACCAGCGTGCAGTCGTGGTCTTTAAGCCTGATCTGACTTTCTTGAGGTTGGATTTGTGTGAAACTCGGATGGGTGGTTAACAGAGGCATGATAAGCTTGTGGTCCAAATTCTATAAGGATGGACAATATATTACTCATTTTCAGGCTTACTGCCTTCAGACATGGTTGGAAATATAATAACCGGAATCATCCACCCTAGGCAGTGATTTCAGTGATTTTGTGTTTCCTTGAAGAAATCGCCATAGAACCCGATTCTTGGAAGTTAGGAATCATGACTGACCTTATTTGAATTTCGTTCCGATGTCCTTGGAATCTAGACTCCAGCTCACCAAATTTTGAGATTCATAGGTGCACAAGACCATGATTCAGCCCATATGAGATCTAACTTCCAATTTTTAGGAATAGCAATAAAAAATATTTGGAATCTAGATCTACACATCTAAATGATTGCCAAAACTTATTGAATGCTTGGAATTTTTAAACATTATTTGAATATTTTTGTTATTTAAAATCTATTAATAATTAATATATTATAGGTATCTAAAAGCCCTATGGGTGTTGACAAGCTCTGGTTTACATCATTCCTAGATTTTGAGATTTTGTAATAAATGTCTTTTTTTAGAATACATTATTACTAAATAAAGTGATTTTATTTTCTTTATTAAATCTAAAAACTCCAAAAAAGTACTTAGTTAAGGGTGCTCGACCTTGTTTCCAATACTTGTGGAGAAGTGTGATAAAGTGCACTTAATACATCGACTCCTTAGGGAAGGGTGTTCAAAGGCCTCGATTCCAATAATGCGGGAGCCTTGGGGAAGCGTACTTTCTATACAAGTCCAATAGTAAGGGATTCTTGCTTATAAATAATCTAAAACATTAAATCTTTTCCTTTTGGAACTTGTTTCTTGATAATTTATGGCTTGGTTCCAAGTGGTTTCATTTGCGATTCCCCTAAGTTGGTAATCTTGATTCCAAGTTGATGAGACCACAATTCCAACAAGGTACAAATCTCGATTTCTATTGGATCAGAGCGCAATACCAACTATAGGAATCATCTGACCACCCCTGATTACGTGATTCCAATCCTTGAAATGATTCAGAACCACAGGCGTTTCAACGACTATAACTGTAAATACCTGACCAATGGTCAATCTTAGAACCTTCAGATGTCAGAATGGTCTGGAACAATGAAAAAAACTTAATAAAAAGCATCATGAATCTTCTATCCAAAATTCATGATATATGGATCCTATTTTACTTATCCATGAGGTTACAGTTCGTTGCTATTTCATATGACTGCTGGTCTGAAATCTGCAATTCTATCAAATAATTCTGGATCGCAATAAAACTTTATGGATCTTAAGTTCAAGGTGTTAGAAGCCTATTTCTCAAGTTTTTATAAAGGTTGGGCATCATTTAACCCTCTTTCGAGCTTTATTTGCAGTCAGAATGCCTGACTCCCTGTCACTTGTAAAATCTATGAAGGACCCTAAAAATGGATTGAAACTTTCTAGGTTTCAATGATAAGTATATTTGTCCAAATTTCATAGAGTTTGGATGGTGTTTTACCTACTTTACAGTTTTCGTTCATCAAGGGCAATATTGTCTGCCAATTAAATCAGGAAACACTATTCATGCCCAATGACAAGTGATCAAGAACTGTTTATCTGCCTGACTGCCTAACTAATTTCATATTAAGTTTTCTCTGATCTTGTGGAGTTCTCTCACGAAGTTCACGAAGTTCACGAAGTTTTGTGGAGATGTTATTCTTGACATGTTCTACATTTCTAACAAAGAATCAAGGTTGGTAAACATCAATTTAAACGTGATTTGAAGAAGAAATCCTCAAGTTGCAGCAAACTTCTGCGTATGGGCACACAAGAGTTTGAATGGGTTCATTCTTTAATCTTTATCATTTTGAAGATTTATTGATTGATATCTATAACATTTTATTCATATTCGACTGTTCTATGACTCTATGGAAGGATCAGGGCACAAAACCTCATCATCTTTGAGTGATGAATGAAGAAACTAATCACTAGCTCTAGCCTCCTGACAACTGGTCAGGCAGATAACCTTCAAATCCACTAATTTCTCGACTTTTTGAGTCTGGAAATGCCTCAACACAGTTGATGATTATCCTTCTTGATGTTTATGAGAGCAAGCGATATAACTGAATTGGTTTTAGATGAATCATCATCATCTTCAAAGCCTTTTCCTAACTAATTGGGTTGGCTAAACGAATCCTGTTCCACCATTCTGCTTTATTAAGGGTCAGACCCTCAATGAGGCCATAAGTCCCTATATCTTTTCTCACTACTTCCAACCGTGTCCTTTTGGGCCTACCCCTTATCCATTTTGAGCCTTCTACTTGAACTAACTCGCACCTTCTAACACGTGTTGTGCTGGGTCTGCACCACACATGACCAGGCCATCTAACTCTACTCTCTCTCATCTTATCGCCCATTGGTGCCACACCTAAAATTTTCCCAATGTATTCATTTCAAATTCGATCCCTTCTTGTCTTGTTACTCATCCATCTCAAAAGCCTCATGTCCGCTACACTCATTCTATGAGTATATTGTTTTTTGACCGCCCAACATTTTGCCCTATAGGGCAAAGCTGGTTTCACTGCTGTCCTATAGAACTTGCACTTCATATTCGTTGGTATGCGGCGATCACATAAAATTTTAGTTGCACATCTCCACTTCGCCCACCCAGCTCTAATTCTATATTCAACATCTTCCCCATTGTCTTCATTTTCCTGGATTATCGAACCAAGATATTGAAAGTACGCTCTTTTTGGTATTTCGTAACTGTCAATCTTAACTGCTTCCTCATCTTTACTTCTATCATTACTAAACTTGCATTCCATGTACTATATCTTAGTCTGGTTAATTTTAAAAACCTTTAGATGCTAGAGTATCCCTCCAAAGTTCTAACTTTGTGTTGATGTTGTTTCAGGTCTCATCAATCAAAACTATGCCATCTGCGAACAATATGCACCACAGTACCTCATCTTGTAGGTGCCCAGTTAAGTCGTCCATAATTAAGGCTAAGAGGTACAATGCTAACCCCTGATATAGACCTATTGTCGTTGAAAACTCGCTCGTCTTTCCACTAGCTGTTCGTACACTAGTTAGCGCTCCATTGTGGGCAGCCAAGACATGCTTCCTTGCATCCATTATGCAAGGGAAATAAATGTTTTATAGAATCTAAGGTTTTGTGTCTGTTCTTTATTTGCACTGGGTCTGCACCTATTCCAACCCTAATCAAGGGTGTCCAATCTTGTAAGAAAAAAGTTTGATGTAAATGAAATATGATACATAAGTGCTCCTGGAGCTCCTTTCACCTAGTCTTTTATATTAACTAAAATAGACCTTGGTTATGTGCAATGGGTGAACACATGTCGCATTAATCGGTTGGTGAGTCATATCTTAAATACAAACACATGTCGCATTAATCGGTCGGTGAGTCGCACCAATATGCTTTACTTCTATAAGCATGCAGCCTAGTAACTTATGGAGCTGAAATAATACATTGAACTCTACTTGAATTAGGTTTTAAAGTCTATGTAATAACTATCTTGGGCTTAGGTTTGGCTCGCGCTTTACTTTGTGAATCCTTATGTTGCTTTGTCCCTCTTCACTCTGAATCCCAGTTCCAAATTCAGAATTTGGAACTGCTTCAGTACTTATCCAAACACACTTGTTAATTTTATTCTAAATTTCCTGAGCAACTGCTATCAAGCTTTTTGCAGTGGAAATGCTCGAGTATGGTCAAACCATTTAGTGAAAACAGGCTTCTTGAACCATCCATTCACAAAAATACTTTGACTATGTTATACTGCATTTTCTCCTGCCTTGTATCATGGACAGCGATTGTTGGATTGAAAGTAATGACTTAGTCTTTATTCATGGCTTTCAACTTTCTCAAATATGGCATATTTTTGTAGCTTAAAATAGCTTTTGCCAGGGTCTTCTATTAGGGAGGGATTCAAGAGTTAAAATATTTAACCATTCAATTCCCTGGTTTGGTACAATGATGATCCAATAAAGATTGTTGCTAACCTCTTATCAGCTCTGGAGCTACTGATATGTCTTATGGCTGAAGTTGTGACTCTGATTTTTTTTCTTTTGCAGAAGGGGTTTGGTCACTCGCAATGTTAAGGAATCTGTGGATTTGTTTCACATCCGCTTTGGGGTAAGCCCTAGGTCAGACTCAAGATAAAAACGTGCTAACGTGCAAACTATTGATATGTTGCTCAAAATCAATAATTATGTATCAATAACCGACATATATTAACAGACTTTTATCATTAAAAGTGTTATTTAACATCACGGAAAACTCGAGTGAATGGTATCGTTAGATGGAGTTTTAAAACTCAGTTGTGCATGTGATTGGTTCTGATTCTACAGGATTAAAAGCCACCCAATATAAGTACAAACATCAATCAAGAAAACCTTGTTCCAGCAAAAGTACTCTGTCCCCATTAAACAACAAAACAATATTCATATATGATGCATCCAAACATTGGTATGCTCGACCTTGGAGGGCTCGAGACACATTTTGAGCTTCTGTAACGATTGAGTTTCAGGGGGCCCGGAGTGGTGATAAGCGGTCCTCCGAAGGTCTAACATTTGGATTCATCCCACTATTCCTCAACAAACAGGGATCGTTCTCTATCCTTGGCTTCTCCCATGGTTGATCTTTATGTACATCCTTGGCTTCTCCCATGGTTGATCTTTATGTACATCCTTGGCTTCTCCCATGGTTGATCTTTATGTACATCCTTGGCTTCTCCCATGGTTGACCTTTATGTACTCTTTGCTTGACCTTTTTGCTTGTTAAGTCTCTATGCTTGTCCATGTTGATATTTTGAATGTGTCTATGGAAAATCTATTGAACTCTTTCTTGGCCATGTTTTCTTTCCTTTTTTTATGCTTTTTGTTTTAATAGTTCATTTTGCTTGTCCGTGTTGATATTGCTAACATGTATGTGTTTATGTTTTTGTGTATGTGGATTATCTCATGAACTCTTGGTCTTTTTTTTTTTGATATCTCTCTTTGCTTCTCCATGTTAATATTATTAATATCTATGTGTTTGTTTGTGTGCATGTACACGTGTATGTGTGCATGTGCATGGATTATGCATTTGTAATTTTGTATATGTAACCTGTGGATTGAGAACCTCTTCATCCATTATTGTTAGTTACTGGAATCGCTGGGTTTGTAATTTCATGTCTTTGTGTTTGTAATATGCTACAAAGTTCTTTCTCAATAATGCGAAAATATGAATACTTGAACAGAAAAAATAGTCAACACGATTTCGAAACATCTTCCAAGTTCCAATTATTTTACGTGGTATTAGAAGATGCTCATGGAAACATTTTCTTTTGGAACCATCATTTACAGTTTTCTACCTCAATTGTGGGACTAATCTGACAAAAACTGATGTCAAGAATGCTTCAGGCCTTTTGTGTTTGAGATTTGTTTATTTTAAAGTTTCTTCTATGCATCAAAAGTCTCACGTATAAACATATATTTCACACATGTGACTGTATAGATTGTATGAACTTTTGTGCATTTTTTGTGGCTCATCGAGCTTCAGGTCAATCAAACCTCGCCGACCAAGTTGCAAAGTTCTTCAGGGTTTTTGGTTGATGACATTAAACTTCTACAGTTCAGATGTCTCTTTGAATTTCAGGCCATGAAAGTTCTACAAATTGCTGTGTATATGATTCTTAGCTATCGATAAAGTTTTATTATGGATTGCATTGTCCTGTTGAGGGAATCATACAGTTCTTGCATGTGTAATATACATGCATAAATATTGATATAAATGTAAGTAGAAAGTATAATAAGAACATGTACCTCTTAAATAAGTTCATAATCACCCTTAGCTGTCAGATGCAAATCGGACAACGGGAGTGTGCCATTGACCGGGATCAATGTCCAAGGAGTTTTCTCAAACTTTATGACCCACCACTAACCACCGGATTTCACATCCTAATGGATAGGGGTGATTGTGAACTCCTTTTTTTTTCCCGTCGTGTGCGTATGTGTGTGCGCGTGGGCCCTATGCTATGCATAAGTGAAATGGGCTTGTACATGCTGCCTGTTGCCAAAATTCTGACTGCTGCCATATCAAGTGTTCATTGAATTAAGGCACGTATCCGTGATGAATGTCATTTCATAGAAAAAGGTGTATAGCCTTTGTAGCCAACAAGCCTGACTTGTGGGTGGCATATCACTGCATCCAGACAGGCTTTAGCACGTGCATGTTTATTGATGCATGCATAAAGATTTAATTGTATACAAACACATAAACAATTATGTAGACATACAAGATATATGCATGAATGCATGCTTGTGCTTGTATGCATGCTTGTGCTTGTATGCATGCATCCATATATACATATATACCTGTACAATAAAACAATGAAAGAACAAAAGTTTATTTTTTCTATGCTACAAAGACACGGATATGTATGTCTAAGTGTTCGTCACACATTCAAGTGTCGGAAGGTCTTTTAGACATGACACATATATCTTTTAAGTAAAGGGTAGTTGAGATTTTAGATGACATTAAAATAGTATAATGACATTTCAACAAGAAAGGTTAATTAGAGGTATCTAAATTTCTAAATTGTTAGACATGAGCATCATACCCTTGATGTGTCGACATACACCAAAAACCATAGATGTATAGATTAAATAGGTCCTTTTGTTTCTTTTTCTTAGTGGAAACTTTTCCTGAGTTTTGCTTGTTCTTTTCTAGGCTTGGATCTATTCCTCATTGCAGTACTTCATCATGGAAGACTAAAGGCCTACTTGAATCTAAGTCCCCTTGCAGTTCTAATTTGTGGTTTTTTGTGCTTCTAGTTCTGAAATAGTATGGCATTATTGTTAAGCTGTAGTCTTCTAGAAATCAGAAGTATGGTAAAAGCAGAATATTACTTACAATATACCAAAGGTCCTGATTTGGTTGATTTCTAATCGCCATTCTTTGCCATAGAGACCATCATAATGCATTTGAGTCTCATGCTGTGGCATTTTGAAGAGTCCCAGGAGATAGAAACAATTATATAAGATGGAACATTTGAAGAGTTTGATTGACTTGCTGATGAGTGGCATAGTTTCTAGGATACCATCATCCTTCCTCAATTTAGTGTGTTAAAACCCAGAATGGGGCTGACTTCTGGACAGGATGCAAAGAGATTGGGATATGAATAAGTAGACATTGCCTTTGGAGAGAGAGAGAGAGGTTCTTGAATAGAAGACAAAGGGCCGATTATCAGTGGATGTAGAGGAAAAAGTGATGAGATACTGTAACTCTTTTGGGGATGATATGTATAAATGAGGCCTTCAAATGGAACCTAGGATAGATTTCACAAAGCAAAGCGCACCGAGACCTATGTAGTTCATATTTGATCCCTATTAAAGTCATTTGTTAAAAGCGAGCATTTGTAATTTCTAAAAAATAGTTCTGAATTTTTTTATTTATTTTGGGGACCTATTGTCCAAAGTCATTTCGATAGTAATGCTTTATTGACCAATCAGTACGCAGGACCTTCTGTCTCAGCTTGTGCATCACTTCTCACTGAATTAAGCGGATATCCTGAACCTTTGTCACCAGGGTTCAATTTGTACTTTCAACGAAAGATCCCTTTTTAGCATTTCAAAATGGTTAGACAACTTCTTTAGGAATAGAAAAGTAATCATGTACTTACAGGTATTCTTACAAAAATAGCATGGAAGGTTCTCTGATATAAGAACAGTGCCTTTCCCTTAAAAGTTTTCGTCAGTCAACTTCTGACAGTCCACATTGACTTTTATGCTGAGTATTCACATTATATCCTTTGTGTGGTTTTTCTTTGTCTAGAACAAGCAAAGCAATATAGCAAAGCTGAGATCACCGGCAGCCAACAACAAGCAATACAGCTGCATTCTAGATTGAGAAGTAATCAATTGATAAGAGATTGCAAGAAAAATGGCACAACCGAGGGGAGTCAAGACCTCCAACACACACCAAAAAAAAGAGAAAATCAAGAGAAAAAGCTCTCTCTCTCTCTCTC